CAATTTACTGGCAGGTATCATGTCCCGCAACGCATCGTATAACGGTTGCATATAGGGGTTCAATTTGTCTTTAAAATCGCCAAGGAGAAACCCCAGTTTTTCTCCAGCTTCTACCGCTGTCGAGTGAGTATAATCCGTTTAACTTAGCGTTACTTGAGGGCTTTTACGGCCAAAGCCACAGCGGTATACGTTTTGCCAGTGCCCGCAGGCCCCACCGCAAATATCATGTCGTGGGTTTGGGCCGATTCCACTATTTTTTGCTGGTTGGCACTTTGGGCCTTAATGGCTTTACCCAACACACCATATAGCAAAACACTTCCAGTGTTTTGAATCGATAAAAGTTTTTTGTCTGTAGACAATAGTATGTTTTCCAGACCTTGGGTGGATAAATGATTAAAGGTTTGAATGGACCATTTAATGGCGTGAATTTTTTGAACCAATGCATTTCACAAAACTATCCAGAGACACTCCAGAATACTGGCGAGCATAGCCGTAAGTGGGCATTGACGATTTGACCAATGCATGCTCGGGGATGCTCTACCGATAAAATTAAATGCTCGGGGGCGTAGGCATTGCTGATTTCCAAGGCTTGATCCAAATCGGCCACTTGCACCAAACGGGCGTGATTCAAAGCCTTTTGAGCGATTTCTTTTCTAGGCAATTCGTTTAATTGTTGATCCAGAGCCACTTCCACTTGAGGGATTAATTCGGGATGGGTACACAACAACACCACTTGGCTGTCGGAACCATGTTCGGCTTGGGATAACAAATCCGACGCTACAAATGCTGGGCTGGCCGTGTGATCGGCCACCACCAAAACTTCGGATGGCCCAGCTGGCATATCAATGGCCACGCCATAGTTTTGAGCATACTGTTTGGCCGCCGTTACGTATTGATTGCCAGGCCCAAATAACTTATACACTTTGGGAACTATGGCCGTACCCAAAGTCATGGCTGCAATGGCCTGAGCACCACCTAATTTATATATTTTAGTAATGCCACACAAATGCGCTGTAAACAAAATGGCAGGATGAATCTGCCCTTGAGCATTGGGCGGGGTACACAATACCATTTGTTCACAACCCGCTATTTGAGCTGGTACTGCTAGCATCAGTACTGTGGAAAACAAAGGGGCCGATCCACCGGGAATGTACAAACCCACTTTTTGAATGGGCACCGCTCGACGTTCGCATAAAACCCCAGGCATGGTTTCTAAAACCAGCGTTTCTCGTTTTTGAGCTTCGTGGAACGCTTTAATATTGGCATAAGCCAGTTGTATGGCCTTTTTCAAATCTTCATCCAATTGGTCTATGGCCTGTTGAATTTCTTGAGGACCTACCTGCAATGTTTCGGACGTTAACACCACACCATCAAATTGTTGGGTTAAATCCATTAAAGCCGCATCACC